CTCGCATTTTTATGATGAGGATGGTGGCGATGATGATGGCAATGAGATGATGACGTCACAACTACAAACCAAAAACAACAAATTCTATAACTTCCTGTCAATCAAACAAGCCAGAAAAAAATTTGTACAAATAAACAAGATGTAACGAAAGATTTTTTAAATGGAAAATAACTGTAAATATTTTTTGCAGGTAGTATACATTACTGCGTGAGTTTGTGTGTGTGTGTGTGTGTGTGTGTGTGTGTGTGTGTGTGCAAGAAGTATATATGCGTGTGCGTATGTTTGCATTGGGTATTGTGTCTACCCAACGAGATTTTGTAAGGTCTTAACCTACAGTAAGTCATCCTCGAATCACGTTTGTTCGTTTGGTTAGTTGTATGTTTGCTAGTTTGCCTGCTTGTTCATTCGTCCGTTAGTATGAAAGTTTTATAGCTCGTAAATTAATAAACAAACAAACAAACCAACGAGCAAATCAATAAACAACCAACCAAACGAACAAACAAACAAACAAACAACCACACAAACAAACAACCACCAAAACAAACAACCAACCACAAAAACAAACAAACAACCAACCACCAAAACAAACAAACAACCACCCAAACAAACACCCAACCTGTTTGAACAAATTCTTAGCCTCCTCTTCCTCCAGACCCCCCTTCTCAGTGATGTAGTCGAATAAATCCACGCAGGGATCTGGTCTTTCCATAACGAGAACAAAGTTTTCCGACTCTCTGAAGTAGTCCAACATGTGGACGATTCCATCCCCTAGATTGGAGAGCCTCTGTAGCAGGCAGATCTCAATGGGCACAATTAGGCCGTTCATCTGTGAACGGTGAATGTGATGATGAAGACGGTGGTGGTGAAGATTATGGTGATGATGATGAAGAAGAAGATGATGACGGTGATTGTTCTAATGTGGTCAAAATTGGTGGTAGAAAAACCGGTGTGGTGTTGATGATGGTGACAACTTTAGTGATGTTTCAAACGATTGTGTAAATCTCAGGAAGTAATGATACGGTATCATTCATTCATTCATTCGTTCGTTCGTTCGTTCATTCATTCATTCGATCAGACATTTAAACATTCATTCATTCCGTCATTTGACTATTCACTCATTCACTCGAACAACTCATTCATTCTTTCTATTTATTTTTTCATTGAAAGATTCGGCCAACAGCAAGCAATCCATAACAACAAACACGCGACGGAAAGAGATGCATGGAAAAATTTGACGGATTAAAAGGATATATTTGTGCGTAGGAGGAAAAAACTTCTCGAAAATAGGATATTTCTGTGTTTCCATCTATTTCTTCATTTTTCAACTTTTCATTCGTCTGTCTATTCATTCATTCGTTTGTTCATTCATAACTTTATTTATTTATCCATTCATTCGTTCGTTCATTCATTCATTCATCCATTCGTTCGATCGTTTGTTCATTCATTCAATCATTCATCTATCAACCAATCAATCTATTTATCCATCTATCTATCCATTCATCTATCCATCAAGCCATCCACCATCCATCCATTCATCCATACATCCATCTATTTATTTAGCCATCTATCATCCTCATCGTCATCATCAACATTCATCATCATCGTCGTCGTCGTCATCATTATCCGTATTATAATTCCAAAGAGTTTAAATAAAAATATAATCCAACTTTTTGAATAAAATACAATTTATTTTAGATAATAAATAAATAAATTAATTAATTAATTAAAATAGCAATTTTATAATAAATGAAATAAAATAAAATTTAAATTAAAAAAAAACTATATAAACTCCCATAGTTAATCTCGCTGGATTATTATTTATTCCAACTTGCAGAGACTTATTGTATTTCCTCGAAAGAGTCATTCAAAAAGTGTGAATTACATTTCAAATGTTTTTAGGCTTGCTTCACGAGAAAAAAAAACAACATTATCAACCACATACATCATCATCATCAACAACAACAACAACCAAATGAAGTTAACCTCAACAGTCGCGTTAATAGCATTAGTTGACTACTCTGACGAAAGCAATCACATTAACAGTAAAATGACGTCACCAATCAAATCATCGTCGAAAATGACATCAACAATATAGATCTTTATTAAAACAACAATAATATTTAAAACAAGGTAGAGAAAAGATATTGGCATAAACAACACAAAATTTACATCGGCAACCACAACAGTAATCACAATAGCCACAACTACAACAACTGCCACAACGACAACAACTACCACAACCAATAGCCATCATCTACAATACAGATCATAAATACATATATAACAACAAAAACCCTCAAAAGAACATAAACTACAACTACAATAACATAGCCGCAAAATGAGAGCCACAGCCACAAAAAAGCCACGGCAGTAACCACAACATCCACACAGTCGCTAGCAGTAGCCAATCGCGTAGGTATAGTACAACCAATTGTACAAGTACATGATTGTACAAGTACAGATGCTACCTTAAATAAAATGATTCATTGAGTATACCTATACATATAAACTAAGTACCAAACGGTCTGATAAGCATCTTAATTTAAAATTTCTTACTGGAGTAAATAACTCTATCTTGTCGGCTGCTGCTGTTGCAGTTACTACTGCAGCTACCACTACTACTACAACTGCTACTACTACACCTGCAACTATTACTACTACTCATACTTCTGCTACTGATACCGATATTTCATGCAGTTAGTTGTAGAGTAAGTTACAGCGTACTAAATAATAATAATAATAATAATAATAATAATAATAATTAATATTATTATTATTATTCAGCCTAAAGCTTAGCAAATGAAAAAAGTGAGACACGTTTTCTAAGAATAGAGGGAGGGCGTTAAACTTGTGTGAGTGTGTGTACGTGTCTGTGTGTCAGTGTGTGTGTGTGTATAATAATAATGAGATTATTAATATTTTATTATTTATTATTATTATTATTATTATTATTAATTACGTCATTAAAATAAGAATTTTTTTCTTCAAATCCAAAGAATAATTGTCGAAAATTTTTTCCAAGAAAAAAAGATTCCAAAAAAAAAACATTTTTCTCAAGATCCAACAACAACATCGACGCCATCTTGTTCTTCGTCATCCTCATCATCATCTTCTTCATCATCATCATCATTATCACTATCATCATCACTATCAAGATTCCACAACGATAAGTCATAGCAAAGAGAGAAGTAGAGACAGAGAGAGAGAAAAAGAGAGAGAGAAAGAGAGAGGAAGAGAGAGAGGTCGGGGGGTTAAGATAGAAGAAATAAAAAAAATAGACAGAGAACACAGAAAAAAAGACCAAAAAATTATTTATTTAAAAAAAGAAGAAAGAGTGGAAGAGAGAGTAAAAATGAAGAAAGATAAGAGGAGGAGTGAGAGGAGGTTTGGCTTAATAGAAGCTGTCAGTCCAATCTGTTTTGTCATGATTCACTATTACCACCATCAGCATTATCATCAACAACCAACGACAACATCATTGGGTGAGTTTGTATGTTTCTGTGTTGGCATGTATATATGTTTGTTTTTATGTATGTTTGTTTTTATGTTTGCATGTATGTTTATATGTGTGTTCATTTGTATGTTTGTTTATATGTGCCTTTAATTGTTTGTGCGCTGTGAGAAACGTCTGTCTGGACGCATGTTTTTGTTTGTATGTTTGTTTGTCTGCTTGTATGGAATGTGTGTCATGTGTATTTTAATGTTTTCTAATTAGTAGGCAAAAGTTACTTGCATGCACGTCAATGCAGTGAGTTATGTTATGAATCAAAATCCTGTGTTTGCATGTGTGTGTGTGCGTGTGTGTGTGTATGTGTGTGCGTGTGTGCATGTGTGTGTGTGTGCGTGTGTGTGTGTGGTGTGTGTGTGTGTGTGTGTGTGTGTGTGTGTGTGTGTGTGGTAGTATCACAAGCAGTAAAATAACATCACATCATCATTGTTAACATGATTAGCTTGCATGAATGATTTGAAACATTGCAATATAACAAAATGGCCATTTTAAGAGATATGGATTTAAAAATTAGAAAAAGTAAGAGAGAGAGAGAGGGAGAGAGAAATAAAAAGAGAAAGAAAAAGAGAAAGAAAGAAAGAGAGAGAGAGAGAGAGAGAGAAAGAGCCAAAAAGTAAAAAAGAGAAATAGGGACTTGAGACTAGAAGAATAAATTTTGAAAAATTACTTCATAAGAGATTGAATAACAAAAGGCAGGATATAAATTATATTGAAAAAAAATTGCCGTCTCTTGCCTTCAGACGACGAAGAGCCGATCTTATATTAGTTTATAGGATAATACACGAGGGTGTTTCGGCTAATACTGGACCTACTTTGTTTTTTTCTGGCGATGAGCGTACAAGAGGACATAACCTCAAGTTAAAAGCCTCAATTTCTCATAAAGACTGTCATAAATTCTACTTCTCAAATAGAGTGGTGGAAGATTGGAATATGCTGCCCTCGGTTGCTGTTAATGCGGATTCTCTGTCTGTTTTTAAATCGACAATTGATGATTTTTTTGGTGATATAAAGTTTAATTGGCGAGCAAACTTTTAATTTATTGTAATTGTTTAATTCTAATTGATGTCTGTAGAAAATTTCTTTAATATTTTTATTTACAGTCATTTTTCGGTTGATAATTCGAATCGAATTATTTAATTTAATTATGTTTTATTTAATTTTATTCCTTTAACCTTCGGACAATCATTTATTTTGCTTAGTTTTTGAGTTTTGTTTTGTGATGGCAAGGGGCTTGCCCGTGCTATGAAATAATAATAATAATAATAAAAAAAAGAACAAACACATGAAAAAACGAATAAAAAAGAGATAAAAGATAGAGAGAGCAAGGGAAACTCGGTAAAATATAAATAGAGAGAGAGAGAAAGAAAAAGAGAGAGAGGGAGAGAAGGAGAGAGAAAGAGAGAAAACAAAAAGAAAGGGAAGAAATGAATGAAAAACTGACCTTTGTCCACTCCGAAACTTTGTCCTTCGCTATGTACTTGATGGCCACCTGGCGTGAAATAAAAAATAAAATAATAATAATAACATAATAAAATAATAATAATAATAATAATAATAATAAGTATTAGTAGCGGGTAGCAATCATTCATTTAGTGTGTAATTAATAACAACAACATCCCATATCTCATGCCAATCATCATTTAATCTAATTTTCAAACAACATGTATGTGTGTTGTGTGTGTGTGTGTTTGTTTATGTGTTGAATTATGTGTGTGTGTTTGTTTATGTGTGTGTGTTTGTCTATGTGTGTGTGTTTATATGTGTGGTGTGTGTGTGTTTGTGTTCGCTACATTATAAAATATATTTTATAACTTAAACTCACGCACACACACACTCAACATTTAAAATGAAATAATTATAATAAAAGTTATATTATTATAAATAAATATTATGAAAGTTATACTATTACAAGAGTGATATTTCTGAAAGGGGAACCCTCTTTCGCCGCTGCTGTTTTGTCTCCACTCACTCATACCTTCAGCCAGCAAAAGTTGGGCTACGTAATATATAACCAACCAACTGCTATATATAGGTGATCTGAAACTCTTTTAGCCCATCGATGACTCATTTTAATGAGTTAATAACTCAAGACAGCGTTGATCATATTAAACAACTTTAGTCGTGATATTCAAATGAAATTTGGAATAGACAAATGTGCTACTTTAGATGTCAGAAGGGGGGTGCTACGGTGCGAAGCTACGGTATAAATGTTGATCGGGATATCCACTTCAGGGGTATAGACGTAGAAGAAATGTACGGATATTTGGGAATGGAGGAAGAAGAAGGAACTTCATTATTATGAAGGGACAATTCAAGAAGTAGTAAAGACATTATAGGTGAAATTGATTTTAACGACACAGCTGAATGCAAAAAATAAAGCGATGGCTATCATCAGCAATCTGGCAACTCCAGTCATAAACTAAAGCTTTGATATCATTGAATTGCGATGATTAGAATTACAGCAAATTGACAGAAAAAACAAGAAAATTGCTGACCATGGGCGGAGCACGTCATCCGAATGCTTATGTTGATCGATTGAATTTCGATAGAAATGAAGAGGGTAGATGGCTAAGAGGAATTGAAAATTCTTTTGAAAAAGCAATTTTAGACCTTAACGAGTACATTCTCAACAGACAATGTAGATTAATTGAAATAATTGCAAAAATTATGAAATTAAAAAGAAATATTCAATTCCTAAAAGTAGAGAAAATTAAAAACCGCCATTTTATAGATAAAAATGTAAGCAAAGCAGAATTAAAAAAAAAACTCTTAAAAGATTATCATGTAAAAAAATACAAACGAAAACAATGATCAATTTGTTTTATGTAAGCAAAACAGGAATAGACTTGATAAAAACATAGGCATGGTTAAGAAGTTCAGGATTGAAAGTGGGAACCGAAAGGGTTTTAATAGCCAGGCAAGATCAGGCAAGCATCAAACACCAGATACTTTCAAAAAAGAATACTCAAACTGAATGTCGATGGTCTCTGTGGAATGTGTCACAAACATGTTGAAAGCATTAGCCATGGGATCTCTGGCTGTCCTGCACTGTCAACATCTGAACACAACCCGAGTTGCAAGTTGTATCCAATGTGTGATAGATAGATATGTTGGATTAGAGGCATGTGTAGAATATTATATGCACGAACCGAAGAATGCAACAAACTATATCTATGGTAAAATTTTATGGGCACACCAGCTATAACAGGTAGAAAGATAGAAGCAAACGGACCAGATATTATAACGGACCAAGATAAAACCGAAGATACATGCCTATTGATAGATATATAGATATTGATAGATAGATTGATAGAGATATCTTTTCCAGGTGATTCAATTGTTTTGCAAAAGAAGACTAAAAAGATCTGTTAGTACAGAAATCTTCAAATCGAGATACAAAGAATGTGAAACTCGAAAGCTAAAGTTATTCCTATAGCATGGAGTAGTCTCTGGTTGAAATTCCGAAAAATGCACATTTAGGAACAGCAAGCATTACAAGAACAATTCTCGGGTGAATCTCTATTGGATCTTTTTGAAACTTGGATTCGTCAGGGACCAGCTTTAAACAAGCTGTGAAAATAGAGGAAATAAAATAATAATAACAATAATAATAATAACATAATATGACAATGACGATAATGATGATTATGATACTTGAACTGATGGACCGAAAAGAAGAGGTAGTAGAAAGAAGAAGAAAAAGAGGCCACAAAAAACGTCCCATTTTTTCTTGCTACTCACCTAGAAAGCTAAATTTGAATGATATGCCCTGTAAGATGAGACTCAAAACTTCTATTTATTAATAAGCAACAGCGACGTCTCTATTTTCACTGTGGGAGATTTTAATTAAAAAAAACCGGACAAACACACACACATACATGATACATCTTTGTTGTCTTTTCTTTGTGTAAGTATTAAAATAGATATAGGCTGAAATAAATAAAAGCCACTTAATTAAATAGAAGTCTTTTAAAATTTGATGTATTATATGTATACTTACACATTTACACGTGTGTGTGTGTTTGTGTGTAAAATGAGAGAAGAGAGAGATAGAAGAGAGAAAAAAAGAGAAAAATGGAGAGAGAGAAGAGAGAGAAAGAGAGTGAGGGTTGATGTAACTTGCGTGAGAGGATTTATTAATCGAAATTTTTAACTTTTAAAAAATTTTTAAAATTTTTGCAAAATTGTCTGTAAATTTTTTTTTGGAAATAAATTTTGCTTCAATTCTTTTTTTTATTTTCTAGTGCTACCGCTACTGCTACTGCCACCACCACCACCACCACCACTACTACTACTACTACTACTACTAATAATAATAATAATAATAATAATAATAATTCAACTGAAATAAAACATCACTATCAATTTTACGCTCTGGTTCCACGATTGTTTCTGATTAAAAAAAACTAGTTTTCCGTGGTAAAAAAAATAAATAAAAAACCGGAAACGGAAATTAAAATAAAATGCATTGAAGTAATAAATTCAAGAATATTAAAATGAAAACAAAAAAAAATATCTGACAAAATTCATTTGCCTCATCCGAAAAATTTCTACGAAATATCAACTTTAATTATATCTTCAACCATTTCAGTCCACACCACACAATTTTTAACACGTGTGCGTGTGTGAACGTGCGTGTTTCTATGTGTGTGTGTGTGTGCGTGCGTGTGTGTGTGTGTGTGTGTGTGTGTGGTATGTGTTTTGTGTTTTATTACTTTCATTATGACCTTTAAAAAATTTGAATTTGAAAATAAACACATCGGATGACAAATAATTTTTAAAATGTTAAAGGCAAGTTAAACTTAATGAATGAATGGATGAATGAACGAACGAACGAATGAACGAATGAATGAATAAATGAATGAATAAATGAATGAATGAATAAACAAATGAATGAATGAAAGGATGTATGAAAAAAACTAATGAACGAACGAATACTGACATGTTTTCCAGTATCTCCTAATGAACAAACAAACGAATGAACAATGGAACAAATAAATGAAAGATTGATTGGATAAACAAATGAATGCATGAAAGAAGAATTTAAAAATAAATACTGACCTGTCTTCCGGTTTCTCTACACACTCCCGTGTAAACAGTACCAAATCCCCCTTTGCCTAGTATTGGTCCAACCGCATACACGTTTTCAAGTTGCTCCTTATTCTCCGCTGTGATTGGTCGGCATAAATTATGTTAATTAGTTTATTAATTAAATAAATAATTAAATTATTGAATAGTCAATTTGTTATTTATTGTTTAGTTCATCCATATAATCATTCATTCCTTCCTTCCTTCCTTCATTCATTCATTCATTCATTCATTCAGAAATAATAGTAATGAATTGTATTGGCATGAATTGCATGAACGAGTTAACAAAAAAGAACAAGGTGAATTCTCCACTGAGGTTGAGGTCAAAATCAAAGGAGGTCAAATTTACTCAAAGATCAAATCAGATTAACAGCCATCCATGATAATCTGACTATGCATGTAATGATGAATATTTCGTAACTTTTATTTGTTCTTTCAGTTGAATCATCGTGAAGATTCATTAGCACTTTATTCAATTAAAGATTTCATCTGCCATTCAATCATTCATTTATTTATTCGTTTTCTCCCACACTCACTCATTCATTCGTTCACTCAATTACTCACTTCTTCACTCATTCACTCCTACACACGACACCGACCAACTGATATCAATCGACCATGTTAAAGATGATTACGAACAAACCACTGACAAATGTATGGAGACAGAGGACAGAGAGAAAGAGAGCAAGAGAGAGAGAGAGAGAGAGAGAGAGAGAGAAGAGAAGGAGAAAGAGAGAGAAAAAGAAAAAGAGAGATACACATATAAAAAAAAAGAAAATGAAAGAGTGTAGGAAAAAAACAAAAATGAAAACACGAGTTGAATTGAAAAAAATCCTCCGAGCAAAAACTTCACAGAGGAGAGTGAAAAAATTTCAGATTGCATGATGAATGAATGCAGATGGCATTTCGTTTGAATGCAACATTTGAAAAGAAAAAAAAACAAAAAACTTCCAAACTTCCACCTATCCTTATTTAATAATAAATTATCATTTTCTTGAGAAATCATTTAAAATTCCGCCGGAAAGCATTGATGTTAAAGTATTGTAGTGAATTATAGAACGTTTTATGAAGAATTGGGGGAAATATTTTTACAAAACCAATAATTTATTTGTTGATGTGTGATGGGTGGCTTTTCATGTGATAGCACACCTTTCTAGCGATGAAATACCGCGTTGAATAATTTTGTTTATTTATTCGCTCGCTCATTCATTAATTTCTTCATTCATTCATCATTCATTCATTCATACATACATACATACATACATACATACATACATACATACATACATACATACATACATACATACATTTATAGAATTATGATGGTCGACTTACTTCTTAAAAAACACCAAGCAAGCATATATAAAAACCATAGAATCCTAGAACAAGGTATTCTTGATCAAAACTCTAGGGGAAATGATTAACTAAACACACGCACACATATATTCACACACAAAAACAAACACACACACATATACACAGACAATGCCAACACACATATACAAACAAACCCACACAAACACAGACAATGCCGATGAATTGAATTACATATTAAACAATTTTTGTTTAATTGTGACAAAATAATCTTTTTTTATGACTAAAGTCTAAATTTTATTTAGAAATTTCAAACCAAAATCTCTGTTGATAAAAAAAATTAATTTGAGCATTTTTAAAATTTGGCCGAATTATTATTTTAAAAATGCCCACAAACACCCAAAAACATTAAAAACTTACATACTCACAAATTTTACACAAATCCTCAAAACTCGAACGTGTAAAACCCGCCAAATGAGAACCGCCAAAAAACCGCACAATGCATACACCTACAGCAAACTTACACACACACACACACACACACACACACACACCGCGTAGATAACGAATTGAAAATGAGCGACTGATTGGTGCTAACAACTGCACAGCTAAAGAATAGTATGAATGTGTGTGTTTCAGTGTGTGTGCGTGTTCGTGCGTGTTATAAATGTATATATATATATATATATATATAACTCTGTTATATTATATGTGTTATATATATGTTTGTATGTATGTATTTACGTATGTATGTATGTATGTAGGAGTATATATTATCGTGAAGATTGTATAATTATGTGAACTAGTCGTTTAGGTATGCAGACAGACGAATTAATCTATCTTCATTGAGTTTGACAGTATGACGGAAATGTAGAGAAAGATAACAAAATTGAAAAGGGGGAGATAGTTTAAGAAAGAAAAAAAGAAAGAAAAAGAGAGAGAGAGAGAGAAAGAGAGAGACATGTATCTACGAACTTACATGTACCTACGATTAAACATATATCTATCATCTTACATGTATCTAGTATCTAGCAAGTATAATCTAGTATCTAACGAATACCATTACTAATGCACTCGGAATTACAAAATTTCGGATTAAGCTATATCGAAATAAATGCGAAAAACGTTACACCATACAAACAAACACACACACACACACAAACACAGGCACACACACACAAACACGGGCACGAACACACACACACAAGTGATAAAATTGAAAAAAATGTCACAAAAAAATTTGCAACTACAGCTTTATTACTTCACACATCATAGGATGACCTTGGTTGCAATCATTATTATTGGAGAAAAAAATTCACATTTTAAAATTGGAAAAATAATTTTTTGGTTATTTAAATAACAAGGAAAAGCGTTTTAATCTGCAGGGAAAAAAAGCATTTTTTATTTTCAACATTTAAGCGTTTAATTATTAAAAGTGCGATCGTAAAATAGTTAAAAAGTTAAATTTGATGCGGCCAGTCAGGCTATAATCGATTTGATGGTTCCAACCTTTAAAAGTTCCAGTTCAATTCCGCGAATTGGGAAAAAATTGGAAAACAACAATAACAACAACAACAACATCAATAATAATAATAATAATAATAATAACAACGACCATAGTAATAATAATAGTAATAATAACTGTAGTAATAATATTGGCTAATATTAATATTGTTTTATTTTACTTTCACTGCTACTACTACTACTGCTACTACTGCTACTACTACTACTACTATTACTTTGACTACTTCGTCCACCACTACTGTTAATACTACTACTACTACTACAATCGTAGTAGTAGTAGCAGTAGTAGTAGTAGCAGTAATATCAGTAGTAATAGTAGTAAAGTATTACTGATAACAATAATAATAATCTTTTCTCATAGTACGTAACTTTTTTACTAATTAAGTCTTGGTCGTATCGTAAAAATTTATGGAAAAATACCATCATAAATACCCCATAAATACTCTTAATTAATAAGGTATACAAATGATATGTGGCATATTATGTACTCGTGTGCGTGTGTTTGTTTGTGAGTGTGTGCGTGTGGTGTATGTTTGTGTGTGCGTGTATTTGAGTCGAGCCAAATCATCGAGATGAACTCAGTGGAGGATTTCCCAACAACGAGTGTTTCAGCCCTTAGCTAACGTATCAAGAACACCTTGAACACCTTGTTCTAGGATTCCATGTAACGTAAATTATGTATTTGTGTATCTGTGTGTGTGTGTGTATTTGTGTCTGTGAGTGTGTGTATATGTATATTGAACGCCTTGTGAAATTATGTATTTTTGTATCTGTGTGTGTGTGTATTTGTGTCTGTAAGTGTGTGTGTATGTGTATTGAACGCCTTGTGAAATTATGTATTTGTGTATCTGTGTGTGTGTGTATTTGTGTCTGTGAGTGTGTGTATATGTGTATGTGTGTGTGAGTGGTGCATGTTTGTGTGCGTGTATGTGAATAACTTTCTATAAATGTATGTGTTCATGTGCATGCTTGTGAAAAAGATTGCTTGTGTGTATGATATATATATTTTTACATGTATGTGTGGCAGAGAGAATGAGAAAAAAAGGTAAGTAAATGAAAGAAAGAATAAGACAAAAAGAAAAGATAAGAGAGAAAGAGAGAGAAAGAGAGAGAAAGAGAGAGAGAGAGAGAGTTTGGGGTTATCAGGTATTTTCTCATAAAGAATGTTTAGTTGCTTCTAGTTTAGTAGAGTTACAGACGAAACAAGTGTTAAACTTAATGAGGTGCTTCTACCTCAGACACTTGAAAAACTTTTCACTTTCTTTATTACCACGTTTTTTCTATCACCGTTCGTTTGTTCGCTCGTTCGTTCATTCATTCATTCAATCAATCATTCATTTATTTGTGAATGAATGAGTGAATGAATTGATGAATGAATGAATGAATGAATGAATGAACAAACAAACAAACGAACGAATGAATGAATGGCAGAACAAAGGAATGAACAAAACATAGACAGACAAACGACGAAATGAAAATAGTAGCAGTAGTGAACATCTGGAATCTTCCGCTCTACTTTCACCTTGATATTATATAAATAGAACCAGCCAGTCATAAGCCAACAACTCTCTCTCTTTCTCTCTCTCTTTCTCTCTCTCTCTCTCTCTATCTATCTATCTCTCTAACAATCTTTTTTTCTATCTCTTTGTCACTAACTATGATGATAACTAGACGATGATATGATAATAAGTAAATTTTATAATATAATAATAACATTTTACAATACCTATGATACTAAAGATGATGATGATGATGACGAAGATGATGGTGTAGATGATGGTGATGATGATAATAATAATAATGGTGATGATGGTGACGGTGATGATGATGATGAGAAATATGGTGCAGCAATTGATTTTTTTTAAATATCCGTGTCTTTCCAGGTTTTCGCGAAAAAAATTTTTTCCTCTAGTGGGGAGACAAAATTTCGCAGACGGATGGATTGAGTGTGGAGGTGAAAGAATGTTGAAACATCATAAAATTATTATAATTAATTATAATTAATTAATTAATTAAAAAATCGTTATATCGGAATTGTTGCTACCGTTTATGGTAGTTTAGTTTTATTATTGATTATTATTATTGATATTCCCTCATTGTCATTTAAAATTCGTATTATTATTATTATTATTATTAACGTTATTCATTGTACTTATTATCATTATATTATAATGAAAATCTTTCATTTGTAAATAACCATACATAAAAAAATTGGCGAAAGTTTATACGATAAAAAACCA